CAAACTGTTAAATCAACTTTATATAAAAATCAATTAATCAAACTTTACTCCTCAATCAGAAATTCTAACTTAGACAACCTAATCTTCTATACTGATAGTTCTATCAAAGACTGTCAAACACCAAATATTAAATCAGGCATAGGCTGAATTTGTGAAACAAATACTAATATAAACTTTAATGCAAGCACAAAATCATATGTTGATACTAATCGCACTGAACTTGAAGCAGTTCTATTACTTCTTTTAGTTATACCATCAAATATTACTATTATAATCCATCTCAACAACCAAACAACAATTAAAAACTTGCAACACATTTCATCTTTAAAACAATTACATATTAAAAATTGTGATATTATTTCTTTTATCAATTATCTCAAAACTTTTAAAAACCTTAATGTACAATTTTCAAAAATCAAATCATATACAAATTCATTTCATAACCAAGCAGACTTCCTAGCAAAATGAGAAACTTCTAAACCTACTCTCGAACTATCACTGCCAAATACTCAAACTTATTTTCTATGAAATAATCATCTTATACCATTCAAAATTCATAACTTTATCAAAAATATTATTACAATTCAAGAACTTTCTTTTTGGTCTATACTTAAACATTTTCAAAATACCTCAGAACCTAACTGGGCTCTTAACTTTCAAATAATCAAATCCATAGAACATGACATTTACAAATACTCCTTTTGTATTAAAATTCTTACAAATAACCTGCCTACTATGGAAAATCTTAATATATGCTATCCTTATCTCTATACAACAACATGTTCCCAATATACAAACCTCGAAAACACACTTTATCTCTTTCTCTGCGCAGGCAATAATATTAATATAAACTAATCAATTCTCAATACAATCCAATTAACACTTACCTTACTTCAAATATCTAACAGTCTAACACTCTCTATTTTTAATATTATCTTAAACTTTACAGCCAACCATACTAATCCTAATTACTAATCTATTTTATATGCCATATCTGGCACTTTCTCTTAACTACCTACAATAATATTAAAATTCTTTTAAATAAACAAACAAACATCTTTTTGATTAATTTAGGCAACAATCTTCTCACTTGGTACTATCAAGACCTATGGTTTACATGCAACATATCTTAACATTAATAAGAACTTGCTCAAAACATAATAACTAAAACTAAATGTACAAAAATTCATCTCCTAACAATATCTTCTTTCACTAACAACCTTCCAAAAACTATACAAACCTCTAATACTACAATAGCAATTAACAAATAACTCTTACAAGGTTTTACTCTAATCACATGCTTTATATAATATCTTGACTCTTATCTAAGGTTTCCTCCAACCTATTCTAGCTAGAAAATAATTTGAAACAATTATCTATAATACTTATTAGGAAATAGAAGGTGTAATGTCACATTGGGTGTTAATTTTTTTAAAAACACAAATGTAATTTAGAAATCTTTATTTTAGGAATTTTTTTTTCTGTAATTAAATTTCTTATTGTATTTTAAAGTTTCTACTATGATATTATATAAATAAATAAAAAAAAAAAAGAAATTATATTAAAGTTAAAATATATAAAGAAATTTTAATATATAAAAATTTATAAAAATTTACCATATAATTTGTTAATATTAACAGAATTGATATTAATGAGAGTGACCTGTACTAAAAAAAAAATTAATTTAATATTATTAGTTTAAATTTTTAAAATTTTTAAAATAAATCAAAAATTTTATTAAAATAATTTTTCATACTAATAATGTTTTAATAAAATATTTGTATTTTTATATATTAAATTTTTGTTTTAAAGATCTAAAAAATGTTTTTTAATCTATTTTTCATATTATTCTTATATATTTGTTTTTATCTTTTTAAAAATAAAGATTAACAAAAAAACTTATTTCTTATAAAACTTTTTATTTACAATATTTACAATATTTTATTTATTAAACTAATTAAAAACATTCTAATTATGCAACTTAATTGATGTTAATTATATAATCTACTTAACTTCAAAAAGTCTTTATATTTGTATAAGCTTTAGACTTAAACAGACTTTTAGTTTTTGTATACAAGTAACTCTTATTATAGCAAGCTTTTGATATAAGTATGATGAAAAATAATTTATACAGAAACCTTATCGATATAGTAAATTTACTAATAGGTTCTTGATATAGTAAAGACAACATCGCAGTCCGATCACTTTACTATGACTTGTAATATAAAATTAAAAACAACAATTAATTTTGATTATTGTTGAATTAAGATTAGAGATAAGGTTTGAATTAGGGTATAGTTTATATCAAAATTTCACGAAGACTTTTTTCTATAACCTTATACAATTATTTCAATAACGATTCTAAATTGGAAATGACATTTTTATTAATTAGAAGAATGGCATTGTATTTACGTTATAGAAATAAATGCATATCTTGAGCAAAAAGAAAAATATATATTGGGGATTTTGCGATAAAAGAAATTGTTTGACATTTGCATATTATTGTGGAAGAAATAGAAAAGAAAATTCTTTAAATAATCACGACATATCTGCAAAAAACATACAAGACAGTGATTTGCAAAACTTAAGAAACAGAAATGACGCGAGAGAACTAGTTGAATGACGCAATGATCCGGATGGGAGAATTTTCAAGGAAAATATAACAACGTACGAGGTTCCACCACATTTACAGGGTGATTAGAATCATATATAGAAATTTACATTACTAGCATAAATGATGCCATCTAGTACATGCATTGATGCATTAAATTAAACTATCTGATATAAATTGACTCTTGAACTTTCAAATGACAATGATTTCATAGTTGTTTTATTTTACCAATAAATTGGGCACGTGAATGTTCTACAAGCATCGATTTTACAATTTCCTGGCAAGATGTCGGAATTTTTTCATGCAATAAGATTGGAGAGAATCGTGTAGCTTTTTAAACTTTGCAGGTGCGTACATACTTAGATAGTTTGTAATACAATGAAAAGGCTAGTTCATGAATTATACTAATCTATAAACCGTAAATGATTTTAACCTATCAAAAAATATAATTTATTATAATAAGTGAGAATAAATGAAAAAAGGTTTAGATTTTCATGACAAGCATTTTTTATTCCCATTCTTTAGATCCCCGTAATTTTCATAAAGTGATGAATTACACATGTCAATTAAAACAGATTCATAAAAAATAAAAAAGGGTACGATTGCAATGTTCTTGATGTTTTTATGTCAATCAGCAATAAAGCACTTCACGTCCCAAGTGGCAAGGTAAAAAAAACCAAATTGAGTTATTTGTCCAATCATGAACTTCGCCAATCCAGTAATGGATATGCAGATAAAAGCGGATCTACCCAAGATCCTTTGAGCACCTTGGTTGTGAATTGAAGAAACTTATTTGTATTCGAAGATAAGTATTTACTTTTCTAAAAGGCGAAAAAGGCGAAAAAGCGATAGATAATGTTTTTAACAAACTACAACCCCTCTTCTGCTCCACAACTAAACTTAATATACCCTAACAATAAATCACGTGAAATGACTCATTCTGAAATTTCGAATGAATCAGAGATTTTGTCAAACGTTCATTTTCCATTAGAGTTCCCTACAAGCATAGTAACGCCGGAGGATGCTATCGGCCAACAAATATCCGAAATAAGCAGTAGACCAGTCTCGATTCAACAAGTATTTCAACAAAGTATGCCTCAACCACAATCATTACTTCCAATCCAAACTACCGACAGCATTGACCCATTTTTCGGACAATTCTCATCAATGTCAAATTCTACTATATCATTTCCACCTTCACCTACAAGTCCACCTAATTTTCCTTCAGGATATCCATCTCCTCCTCAGAGAATATCACATGATATAATAAGAAATGATGCATTATTTCCCGCACAATTTTCCGAAAGCGTTACCGATCCTTTAACTCAAAGCTCACCAACACTTCCTGATCAATCAGCTATTTGCCTTACGAGTGCACAACAAAGTGGAATGGTAACACCTCCAATGATGATGAATGGTCATGATTATTATCATCCGTATCACCAAATGATAGATCATAGTTACGCGTATCGGCTTATAGCTGAAGAAAATAGAAGACGGCGGAACACCGCTGCTTCTGCAAGATTCCGCATAAAAAAGAAAATGCATGAACAAGCTCTCGAAAAAACTTCTAAAGACATGGCTTCAAAAGCTGAGATGCTCGAGAATAAAGTGCGCGAATTGGAAAAGGAAATAAAATGGCTAAAAAGTTTGATTATTGAGAAGGATGCCCGACTTTTGGATATCGAACGTCCTAAAGAGCAACCTGATCAAAATTAATGAAAAAAAACAAAAGCATTTGTAAATTTTAAATTTTCTTTTTTTTTATTCGATACTATGAGAACCTCTGGAATGCGTTACACGTTCAATTTAATAGTAAAGGTGAGAACTTTTACCATATGAATTTTAAGCACGTTTTGACGCATTTATAAGTTTTGCTTTTTTTCTTTCCTCCAATTTCGTTTATAATCCTTATATTCGTTTTTTCGAAAGCACTCTAAAAAATCTCCGTTCATTATATCTTTCCTTATTTTGTCGTACCTTTTTTATTGTATATTCGAATAATTTTGTATAAATTTTTTTTAATCATTGTTCGGGATCGTGATATTTCGTACATATACCGACCCGATAATTTAATGCCATATATCATTTTTCTCAAGACATCTCAAGAAATTAATTAAGCAACAAAAAAAGCACTTAAATTTCCTTATGATCACCCGCGTTTTAAAAAATTATTTATATAAGCTGATTATTTACTTTTTAAATTAACAATCTCGATATGTAATCTTTTTTGTACAAATTCTTATGTTTTTAAAAAAATAAAATTATTAAGGAGTTTTCATTTAAATAAAAAAAAAGATCATTCATTGAATATTACTGTTAAGTCTTTAGTCTTTAGCGATCCTAAACCAGGTGACTAATTCCGATATAAACCATTATAATGCCAGCAGAACAATGTTTAAAGTTTAAACACGAGATTGCATTTGGTAAATTGGGATGACATACTCGAACTTGTACGTACAAGTCATCTAAAATCATATTTAGTTACAAAAAAAATTTTTTTTTGATAAATGCCTGAATTTTGTAACACTTTTTAATAACTCTATATATTTGTTCATTTTACTTTTTTATTTAAGTACGTACGGAGTTTTCCTTATTACATTACACGGCCCTGCAAAAATAGTTCAGTGACAGGAATGGAAATTGTACAAACTTTCACCTTATTGGACTCAGTCCATGAACGCATGTGATCAAAGTACATAGGCTATTCATTCTAGTTGCTTCGATACTTAAGAACAAAACTCTGATTTTTAACTGATTACATAAAGTGGTAATTAATGAATCGATTTATCATAACAGTTCGATTAATAACTCGGTTATAAATAACCGATATAAAATGTCGATTTATAAAACTATACTCAATGTGAAATATAGTGAAATAACCACTAACCACGTACTTATGTATATACTTTAAATTTAATCTACCGGAAATTTATTTTATATATTATGTAATCTGCAAGTTTCTCGATAATCATTTATTATGTAAAAATTATATCACAATTTAGTATGTTATTAGTTGCAAGTATAAAGTTAAATTTATCTGATTGATTAATATAGATCGATTAAAGCTATCGATATTCTTGTACAACTTGTTTATAATTCAAATACAAAGCTGTAAGAGGAAAAAACTCTTTTCGACAATCAACAAAAATAAAAAGAAAATATATAAAAAACCTTAAATAAACTAAATATGAATAAGATAAAAAAAACAAACTACAAACACTAAAGATTATTTAATACAATAATATTAACAAAAAAAGAAACAAAACAACAAAGCTTATAACAAAAATGTCAAATAATAATTTTCAAACTTGTAAATTATATATTAATATATATTTGTATCTTAAATTAAAATTTATTTTATTATTTTAATATCAAAAAAAAATAAAAAAGTTATATTAATATAAAATCAAATAAAAATTTTTAATTTTGATTTAAAATATATTAGTCAAAATTAAAAAAATTTTATTATAAATTTTAGAAATATAATTATAATAACTTAAGATAATTATTGTCTTATTATTTTTAAAATTAAAATATAATTTAAGACTAAGACAAATATTAAATATAATAACTTCAAATTTAGATTATATAAAGTTTTAAAAAGGTTTAAATATTTTTTTATTTCAAATTATAGTTAATATTATAAATAATTATAAAATTAAATTATTATAAAATCTGAATCTATTTTGTATATAATTTTAAAAAATTTTAGTCTTTTTTGTTAGTTTTTTTTATAAATAAAGTTAAAATTTAGTGTTAGATTTATTAATAAAAATATATAAATAGCTTTTGATAAAACTTATATTTTCAAATTAAAATTTCAAAATTTTATAATAATTTAATTTTTTTTAATATTAAAGATAAAACTATGTTTTTAATTTTATTAAAATTCAGATGAGATTTTTATAAAAAAAAGTTTACTTTTAAATTATATATAAAAAATAAAGACTTAGATATATAATCTGCAACTTAAATATATAATAATCTAATTTTATAATAATCTATATTAGTTAATAATATTTTAAATTTTAAATTTAATTTAAAAATTAATTTTAAAAGTTTAATTTGTAATTTGTTAAAATATTAAAAAAAAGTATAATAATTTAATAAAATAGATAAGTTGTTACTTTTCTAAATAACAGATTTGAAATTTAAAACCTATTAATAATAAAAATTTAAATAATTATTTGTATTATAGTAGTTGTTTTTTGTTGATCAATTAAAATAGAATATCTATAATTATGATTATATTAGCATAACTGGTAAATTATGAAATATTGTTTAATCTTAATTATATAAAAAGATATAATTTAATACTAGATAATACAAATTCAAAATAGATATATAGATTTATAATACTAAAAAAATAAAAACTTATTTGAAAAAATTCAATAAAAAAAAATATTACTAATTTTTAATAGTATTATTATAAAAACTAAATTTAAAAAATGCTGTGTAAATCTGTTGAAATTGGGTAACAAGAAGTCCATTTGGGAAGACCTGAGTAGAGAAGTAACTGGATCTTTGATAATCCTACTGTAAAGGCTAGCACGGGAAAACAGATACTCAGGTCTAGTACCTGGTCCTAGTAGCCAGATGGGTAAGAACCTTTGGGTTGGGAGTCTTGGAGGTACCACCAACCAGGCCATCAGAACGAACTGAAGGAAAAGGATATCAGGCTGACCTGATATACCGATGGACTGGTTGTAGTCCTACACAGGCTATCTGGATTGGGAGTTTGGTAAAAGAGCAGAAGAAAAGGCAGAAATATACTAAAGTACTGAGGTTATGCTATGAAGTAGATACTGGGATCTAAGTAAACTCTACAAGGGCATAGTGGTTTAATGGTTAGCCCTGACTGCAAGTATTGGTTCTGCCATAGCAATACCTAGGTCAGCTGTAAAAATGAGTATAAAAGACTCTGAAGGGTTTACCTTGAGGATAAATTAGTCCTAAGGTTGAGGATGATGATCTGGTACATCTGAGATGACCAGTAATGTTAATACAAGTTACAGGTTCAGAGGGTTTAAAGTAGAACACCCAAGTAGAGGTATTAGGTATGGCAATTAGTAAGAAACCTTCAGGTGGACTTCTTAAATAGGTAATATAGAAAGTTACACATATAGCCAATTGTATGCTCTCCTGTAGTAGTTCATTGAACCACAATACCAATAAGTGATTAATATAAAAGTCAAAAGACCAAAGAGGTCATCTTAATACCAAAAAAAAAAAAAAAAAATTTAAAAAATAAACAACTATTAACTCTCCTTGATGATCGCTTGTACTGAATTTCATACTAACAAAAACAGAAAACTTATTAAAGAAAGTAGAAGAGGTTACTATATAAATAACAGTTTTTATAAAGGTCAAAGTGGTTCTTCTATACTGGACTCCTTTATATATTTAACAAGCAAACTAAAAGCATGCATATATAAGATAACTGGCAGAAGGCACCCTTGTATAATAAATTTTAGTAGAAGTCTCGGCTTCTGTTAATGAAGTTAAAATAGTAGGCCTTATAGGAAAACAATAAGCAAGTTTTTAACACATTCACTAGAAATTCAAGGATATCTGCTAACTGAACACCACTACCATATTCTTTGCTTGGTTTTTGATAAAAGTTTTTACAAGAAGTGGGAATTTAGCATACCTCTTATAAAAGATCTACAGAAATCATCTATTTTAGAAATAGGAAAATTATCTCTTTTTTGGAATTAGGAGTAACTCTAATCAGAATAAAAGGGTCGGCTGTAGAACTGGTAGGGAAGAAATTAAACACTAACACCTCTATCATTAAATAACATTTACATATAGTATAGACCTATTTCTAGAATAGAGACTGGAAGTAACAGTACTATATAATTTTTACAATTTGCTCTAGCTGGGACTTCGGCCCTCTTTTTGTTTTTTTTTTTTCTTACTATTACATGTTTGTTTTGCTGTTTTGTTTTGATTTGGGTTTTGTTTGTTTACTTTTGGTTTTTTTTAGTTGTGTTCTTATTTGTATTCAATTTTATAATATCTTTTTTTTTTTGGCCCTTTAAGAAGAAGAAAAAATTTAAAAAAAGAATTGAAGACAGTTAATGCTTGTCCTGAAAAAGAGAAATTCTTTCTGGTATGGCTTTAAGTAGCCAGATAAGCAGTCGACCTCTGACTGGAATAGTGCAGCAGGTCACACTTAGATATCAATAAGATGGTCGAGTGATGCTGGACTTAGTTATTAGGAAAATTCTATATAATTATTGTATATAGTTGCAAAAATCTTAATAAAGTATTAGCATGGCTGCTTAAGAGCAAAAAAAAAAAAAAAAATTTAAAAAATAAATATTAAGAAGATGCTAATTCTAATATAGTAGTTAAGTTATCATTTTTCAAGTAACAAGTTTAAAATTCAAATCTTATCTATATCAAAATTTGAAAATTATATCTATGTTATAATAACTGTCTTTTGTTGATCAGTTAGCTTTATGCAACTGTAAACTAGATATATCAAGTCAGATTCTACTAACATTGGGAGCTTAGAGCATCTATATAAAATGTAACATTATATATATATAGAGAAATGTATAACTGGTATTGCATAAAACTTCGATGCAAACTCACAATAAGACTACCAAGTATAGAAGACTAAGAAACAAAGATAACAGAAACCTACTTGAAAATTCTTAACTAAAAAAAAAGCATAAACTTTTGATAATACCATTAGACTGACTAAA